TTTTTTTTTTTTTTTGAAGCAGGCAAGATGAAAAATGAGCAATGCCTTCGCTGTGAATCGAACCACAGATCTCTCAATTACATGCTGAGTGGGCAGACCACTACACCACGAAGGCACGCTAAGAAGGCAGGAGAAATACCTTATAACATTATTATTGTTTTAGGGTTTTGAATAGCATTATTAAGTTTCATAAATATCAAGAAGTGAAATAAAATAAATATATTTGGACATTGATCACTTTAAGTGTACTAAGAACTTTCTAAATTAATTACTTTGGGAAAGAGAAATATAGTTATATTTCTAAATTAATTACTTGTTTGTTTTAGACCTTGAGTAATTTTATTTTACCATATTCCATACACATATTTCATTTGCATTAGAGCCACACCACTTGTATATGAGAACTATGCCTGCTACATACCACTGTGATCACCCCTGCTGTATACCAACAGTAACATTTCATGTCATTGTTGTTAACCTGGTTCTCTAGATCAGGGGTTCTCAACCGGTGGTGTGCTAGAGAAAAATAGGTGGCACACAAAGAAGCAAAGTATTTTTAACTATTAAATTCCAAAAATTAAAACCCCAACATCCTGATTGAGGTTTTTCTGTAACACTCATAAATTTATTCGATCTGAGCTTTGTTCAAGAGTGATGGTGTTAATGGTACTAAAGGTTTTAAAATTTTGTTTAGATGGTACACGTTAGTCAAAAGGTTGAGAAACGCTGCTCTAGATTAAAAGCTAAATTCAGTCAAAACTCTGATGTATGATCATTCAGATGCCTTTTTAAACATCATAACAAATGTATGATTTAAAAAGGCTTGTGTTTATTCATACAGGAGAGAAAACTCATACATGCGAGGAATGTAAAAAATTGTACTGATAAAGGAAAGAATTCTAGAAGTATATTCTTTAGTGAATCTTGTATTTGAGGAATCTATAGCAGACAGTGGGCTACCCAATTCCAAGCACAAAAATATATAACCTTCATAAAATCCAGTACAGAGTAATTAGTATCTAATTTTTTGCAAAAGAGAAATACAGTTGGTCCTGAAACATTTTAATTGGACTTTCTATGCATCATCTCTGCATCACTGCAGTAGAATATCATGTCTGTAAAGTAGTAAGAAGCAGTTTTGGAAAAATGCATTACTCGAAAAACATGATTTTTTTGTAGTGGTGACAAACCTGCACATACCAGAAACGTAGCTAGTTTTTTGCAACAGAGCTTCAGAAAGTAGGATTTTTATAAAAATGACAGAACATAGCCAGACTTTTTAAAATTTTATTTCCTATAAATAATTAGTCAAAAGTTTTTTTTAATAGCTGAAGTATTTAGTACTAGTAACAATTAAGTTTTATTTTATATAGATATTTATATTATCCTTGTAATAATTTGATGTATTAATCATTTTTTTATTTATGTTACGTCCTACTTGAAATTAGATAAAATCTTATTTTACAGAAGTGGGGACGCAGACACCAACCCACAATCGTGCCAAATGTTGGCACTGGTTGCGGCTGTGTGCAACAACAAACTATGCGTATTGGAATTTGCCAGTGCTTTTAAGGATGAATTCATAACATGCCATAAGAGCCAATTTTTGATAACAAAAACATTTAATCACATCACAATATTAAAACTTAATTACTACAGTCGACAGACAATCACGTTGGAGGAAAGCGAGCGACCAACCGCACCGACGACGAGACGTGACTGTGTGTCGCCGAAATCACCTTCGGTTACAGTTAGTGATAACGGCGCGCGGTTGGCGAGTACAACACATGTTTACAGAGTCGCCACACTACTCCCCCTCCAGTGGCAACGAATTAAAGGTACCGAGGGTTAAATCGGACTCTACGTCCGGAACGTGTATACTGAGGAGCACTTGTTTTCTGGGATCCAGGCACAGGAACTGACGTAGTAGCAGATGTTGGTGTAGACCCAATAGATGAAGGTGCCTTCGAAGGAGGTGGGACTGATGTACCAGTCTCGACAGTTTGTGGTGCTAAGATAAAGGCTGGTTTGAGACGATCAAGGCTCACCACTGTCTCTTTGTCGCCGATTAGTATCCGATAGTTCTTGGATGTGCGACTTAGAACTAGGTGTGGGCCTGTATAGGTAGGCTCCAAGGACTTTTTTGATGCATCACACCGTAAGAACACATGTGAGGATGTAGCGAGTTCTTTAGGAACAAACACAGGTCTTGAAGAATGTATGCTTGTGGGCTTAGGGTATAATGCAGCCATGGTTTCACGCAATTGTTTGAGGAATGCATGGGGCTGGACATTGGGTGAGTTTTTTGCGGGATTTATAAAATCTCCCGGTAAACGTAAATTGGTACCATAAACCATTTCAGCACTTGAAGAACCCAGGTCCTCTTTGATAGCCGTTCTGAGTCCTAACAACACAGTAGGAAGGACATCAACCCAGTGAATAGCAGTATGGCATCTAATGGCCTGTTTAAGAGAGCGATGGAACCTCTCGACAAGTCCATTGGAATTCGGGTGGTACGGTGATGTACGGATCTTTTTAGTTCCCAAGAATTTTGTTAATGCAGTAAATAATTGAGATTCGAACTGCCGTCCTTGGTCCGTGGTAACGTACTCGGGTACCCCAAACCGTGAAATCCATACAGAAAAAAAGGTTTTTGCCACAGTGTCGGCTGACATATCTACAATAGGGATAGCCTCTGGCCAACGTGTGTATCTGTCGACACACGTAAGAAGATATGTATAACCTAGTGATGGGGGTAAGGGTCCAACCAAATCGATATGTACGTGGCTAAAGCGAGCAGATGGTAACTCAAAGCGTTGACATGGAGTTCGAGTGTGCCTGTGAATTTTTGATTTTTGACAGTCTGTACATGACCTCGCCCATGCAGCGATGTCCTTCTGCATACCAGGCCATACAAAACGCTGTTGAATTAACGTGCGAGAAGCACGGATGCCAGGATGGGATAAATTATGGAGGCCGCTAAAAATACCATGCCGGAATTTCAGTGGAATGTATGGCCGCACCACATTACCTTGCACATCGCAGTCGCAGTACAGTGAAAGATCTGGTTCTAACTGCATAGGTACTAAATTAAGTCCATGAGAAGACTTGTCAGACAAAAGATGTTGCAATTCTGGGTCCTGTTTCTGACATTCAGCAATGGCGGAGAAATCTGTTGTTGATGGCAACTGAACCTCTTCAATTCTGGACAGAGCATCAGCAACTGTATTTTGAGGGCCTTCTACATGCCTAAAATCGGTTGTAAACTGCGCTATGTAATCAAGATGACGCATTTGCCTGGGAGAAGCCTTGTCAGGCTTTTGTCGAAAAGCGAAAATTAGCGGCTTGTGGTCGGTATAGATAGAAAACACACGACCTTCTACCATATGACGAAAATGTTTAACAGCCTCATACGCACTAAGAAGTTCGCGGTCGTACGTGCTGTATTTTGATTGCGCTGCAGAAAAATTTTTTCGAGAAGAAAGCCAGAGGCTTCCATGCTCCGTCTACCAGTTGCTGCAAAACCGCACCCATGGCCGTATTAGACGCGTCAACCATTAATGCTAAAGGGTGCTTAGAAGGATAGCTAAGAGCTGTTGCCGACGCTAAGTCATTCTTACATTGTACAAAGGCTGTACGGGCATCATCAGACCAAATAATTGGCCGCGTATCTTTCTTTTTACTCCCAACCAAATATGTGTGCAAAGGTGCCTGCTTTTCAGCGGCATGAGGAAGAAAGCGACGATAAAAATTTAACATGGCCAGAAAACGACGCAGCTCCTGAACAGTTTTTGGCTCTGGGAAATTTTGAATTGCAGTGACTCTGTCACTAAGTGGGCGAACGCCCTCCGAAGAAACTTCGTGACCAAGAAAATGACACTTTAGATTTCCCGAAAACACATTTTGATGGATTAATGACTACACCATAAGACTGAAATCGGCCAAGGACTATGCAAAGGTGTTCAAGGTGCTGGTTTTCAGTTGTCGAGGCTACCAGAATGTCATCGAAATATGGGACACAAAAATCTAAATCTCGAAGGACTTCATTAATGAAGCGCTGAAACGTTTGCGCAGCGTTACATAACCCGAAAGTCATGACAGGAAATTCGAATAATCCAAAAGGTGTTATTACAGCAGTTTTTGGTATATCAGGTGGATTGACAGGGATCTGATGGTAAGCACGAGTCAAATCTAACGTAGAAAAAATATTTTTGCCTTCCAAGACTTGCATGCAGTCCTGAATATGAGGAACCGGATATCTATCAGGCAAAGTAACTGAATTAAGACGTCGATAATCCCCACAAGGACGCCAGTCGCCGTTTTTCTTAGGGACCATGTGGAGTGGACTGGCCCATGAACTTTTAGATGGCCGACAGATTCCTTGCTCAAGCATGTATTTAAATTCTTCTTTTGCAGCCTTTAATTTCTCTGGAGGCAACCGCCGTGCTTTGGCAAAGATTGGTGGTCCAGTAGTCTCTATGACGTGTACAATACCGTGGTCAGCAGTCGGTTTGCCAGTTACTGAGCGGATGACGTTAGGGTATTGCTCAAGTAGTTTTGTGGAAAGGAGAATTACCGGAAATTAATTTAATTCCAAAATTAGTGGCATTTCCAATGCTACCTACCGCGGACAATTGTGTGATGGAGTCGAGTAAGCGTCGATTTTTAATGTCGACCAACAGAGAAAATTTTTGCAGAAAGAAAGTCTGCACCAATTATTGGGTGCGAAACCGCAGCGATGACAAATGGCCATTGAAATTTGCGACGCAATCCTAGATCCAAAGACATTAATATTTCTCCATATGTTGCAATTTTTGACCCGTTAGCTGCAAATAAGTTAAATTTTCCAGGCGGCCGTTTGGATTCGGCAAAAGAGGGAGGTACAACCGAAATGTCAGCACCTGTATCAACAAGAAAACGTCTGCCTGATGGTTTATCTGTTACGAACAATCGACTAATGCACGGGCCGTTGTCACTCATGGCTTCGAGTGACGGCCCCTTCAGTTTAAAGAGGTCTTCTGAAATTTGCATGGAGGTGTACACTTGCGCGCTTTATCACCGAATCGGCTGTGATAGAAACAAATGTCTGATTGAGTACCAGAATGAGCGCGTTGGTATTCCCTATTATTTCGGTTCCGGGACTTTGATCTACCGCGCGGATGATACTGAGATCGTGTCTGTAAGGCTGCGACCTGCAATGATAATTCCTGGATTTGTTGTTGAAGAGATGAAATATCAACACTGGGATGCTGAACTTGACTGATTGCTTGTGGTTGGAGAACATCATGAATTTTGTCTGCCATTTGGGCCAGTTGGGGTAGGTTCTCGTTACTGGAGGCAAGAATAGCTTGGATATTGTTCGGGAGACGATTGAGCCACAATGATTGTAAAACATTGGACTTAAAATTGTCACCCGCAAGCTCCTGCATTTTTGACAATAACTGGGATGGGCGCATATCACCAAGTTGCAAATCTTGTAATAACTGCTTTAGTTTGGTGTTTTCAGACTCCTCATAAACTGAAATTAATTTATTTTTCAATTCCTCGTATTTATTATCCGTGGGGGGGGGGTTTCAGAACAATCTCGCGTACTGACTGAAGAACCTCAGTGTCGAGGGCGGAAATTGCAGTATAAAATTTCGTGTCGTCGCGTGTTATACCCCCGAGCTTGAATTGTGCATCTAATTGAAAAAACCAAAGGTTGGGGTCACTACGGCAAAATGGGGCAGGTTTCACAGCAACGCGAGCCATTTGTTTGTCATCAGTGGCTAGAGGATCGCTAGTAGCCATAATAAATATGAATAAATACAGATAACAAAAAAAAAAAAAAACGATATAGTTCAAGAATACTGTTGCAGTACACGTGAAGAAACACAAAATAATTAATGTTAGGACCTGGGTTCAAATGATCTAGAACATGAGAAATATAGGAAAAAACTCACCCGCTTGACGAATACATACGAATCCATGTGCGGAATAAAAGGTAGAAAATATCACCTTGATGTACAGAAATTATCCACTCGCTTGATGTTGGAACACTATCACTAATGGAAGATGAAGATAATCATGTCCAAAATGTATGAATGAAACTGATCACAATGATCAACGAAATGGAACATAGACATCCAATGGCTGTAATATGATGAACTGATGCACGATCATAATAGACAATAAGGTTCATCCAATCACATAAGTAAAAATTATTCAGCAATTTCGCTTGTTTTACAAGGTCTTGTTTAAGCACAAAATTTCTGCTGTACTATAAATTTCGACGATTCATTTGGCTTAAGCCTCACCGTCCTGAAGTCACCATTTGTTGCACGTGGTTGCGGCTGTGTGCAACAACAAACTATGAGTATTGGAATTTGCCAGTGCTTTTAAGGATGAATTCATAACATGCCATAAGAGCCAATTTTTGATAACAAAAACATTTAATCACATCACAATAGTAAAACTTAATTAGTACAGTTGACAGACAATCACGTTGGAGGAAAGCGAGCGACCAACCGCACCGACGACGAGACGTGACTGTGTGTCGCCGAAATCTCCTTCGTTGCAGTTAGTGATAACGGCGCGCGGTTGGCGAGTACAACACAAGTTTACAGAGTCGCCACACTGTTTTTTTTTTCCTGGAAATCTTGGTTGTATGTTTAAATAGCAAACCGTGCAATAAAACATTTCACGAGATACTTTTAAATGTAACACAGATTATGCGAATTCGAATTTGCATTGTATTAACAAGTTAGAAGTTTTAGAAGTCAACAACAAAATTCAGCGTTATAGTATATCATTTTTGTTGTTTGACTTTTAAAATAATCGTCATTCGGAGTGTCATTTTAACCTAAAACTAGAAGTTGCTAAGCTACTAAATACAAAACATCAAATATTTCAGTTATATTTTAAAAAAATGTATACAACTGTATATATTCTTAAGGAAATTTTAGTATTCTATGAGCAAATTTACCAGGAATGAATCACTGCAGTTAACAAAATGTTGAACTCTCAATTTCGTATATGGGAATTATCTCTTTTGCTGTCTCTCTGCACGGTCATCACATAGGTAATTTGACGAGATATCGCCAAGCTGGCCACGGTTGTGGCGACTAATTTTGTCGCCATATTTCGTAAGAAATCGCCCTGTATCACAATCAAAGGTATCGTAATTAAATAGATTTAATTGATCGATATATTAGCTATAACCGTAATTCGACCACCATATTACCTCCAGCAACTTCGAGAAACAGAATTTACTAGAAATATCTTGGCGGCCGAGTGAGAACTATATCAAGCCGGTGAGAGCATCTGCTCTGAATTGTTGTTAGTTCAGAGTCGATTAGGAGTACTGGCATATCTCCGAGTTGGCTTTCTCTTCAGATGCGCTTTGCATTGTTTGTGTTTAATGTTCTTAGTAATCTGAAGTGTAAATACTGACTGTACTGTGTGATACTGTGAACACCTGTACGAGTATTTCTGCGGAAAATTCCAGAGCTATGAGCTGTTTCTTTTGATACAACAAATTTTATCAATCTATCATCTGGACCTGTGTGCATTCAATCCATTACAGATCAGTACGCACGCAGCACTTTTTGGTGTCAGCACTGAGGTGGAATGCCGGTGTCAAAAACGATTGAGGAGAAATTAAGACAGACTGCGACTGCTTTTGCTGTATTCCAAGAAAAAATGGAAGCTGGTCAAAAATCCATTAAAAGAGAGATGAAAGCCGTTCAAGAAAAGATTTTCATCTTTTGAACAACTTCCGAGTTTCAAGAATCCGTTGAAAGCCTTCAAGAAAAGATTGAAGCAGGTGAAGAGGAACTGAAAAAAGAAACAAGTGTAATAGAAAACAATTTCGAGGCTATTGAAGATAGAATTGAAGCTGTCGAAAATAAAGTTGAACACGTTGAAGACAGAGTTTCTGCCTTGGAACAATAAATTGATGACAGAGTTGCTGCAGTCGCCGAAGAATCTGACACCTTATAGAAATGCATAGCGACCGCAGGAAGCATTTCGGATGGTTTTAAATTTTTACCCATATCTTCTAGTCCCTCTATGAAGCTATCCTCATATGATAAATATACGTATATGAAACAATTTTCTATATTGGCGTATATGAAACAATTTTCTATAGTGGCGTACGTGAACGGGATGGGATTCCCAAGCTAAAGCTTGTTGTCTCGCCGCTTCTCTGAGTGCAGATGCAGCGGATATCCTTCCAACTCATTCCGCAAAGCAAAGGCTAGACTTCGAATCTCTATCTGATACGTTGGAGCTGCGCTTTCTGGAGCAATGTTTACAGATTATAGCAGGCTTCGATTAAAATCCCGTCCCACGGAAACACTTCAGGAATGAGCCATGGACGTTGAAAGGCCGTCTCATATCGCCTTTTTGGAGTGTCGGTCAGAAACAAGGAAAATCCTGTCCCAACAGTACTTCATAGATGACATCCGAGAACCTGAAATTGAGAAAGCTCTGGGAATGGCGGATGTCGGGTATTTAAAAAGGGCTGTGGTGTTCGCCATGAAATTAGAGGCAGCCCAGCAAACAACTGGTAGAGACCGCCACCCAATCAGAGCTTGTCAGATCCAGAAGCCAGTGGATCAAATGACGGTTCGTCTAAATCAGGGATTCTCAACCAATGGTACGCGTACCATTGCTGGTACGCAAGAGAAAAATTGGTGGTATGCAAAAAAAAACAAAGTATTTTTAACTATTAAATTAAAAATCTCGTGAAGAAAACTGATTAAGACTGGTTAACTTTTGGCTGAACCGAAAAAAACAATTTAAAGGCATTAAAAATAAAGATGTTAAAATTTTATTACTTTTTTGAAAAACCTATTTGTGTGAACAGGGATTTTCTTCCATGCCGTATTTGAAAAATAAATACAGAACAAAATTAAAAGTAGATCATAATTTACGGTTAAAACTAAGTTAAATAAAACCAGATATAAAGAGTTTGATCTCTCTTAAACAGGGCCCAAATTTTGCACTAAATTATAGAATTAAATTATTATAACTTAAGTTTTGATAATTAAAATGGTAACCAATTTTTAATCGAATATATTTTATGCTTGAATATTTAATACAAATAGCCAACAGGTTGTGCGAATGGAAAAATATACTTTTTCTTTTTAATATTTGAAAAAAAAATTGTAAAATGTAGTGATGGTACTGAAGTTTTTCAGTTTTGGTCTAGATGGTATGCATTAGACGAAAGGTTGAGAACCGCTGGTCTAGATGATTTAACCAGACAAGTCAATGCCTTGAGACGGCATATTAGTGACAAGAAACCAATCCTAAAGTGCTTGAACCGCGGTGCTGAAGGCCACGTACGAAGGAACTGCAGAATACCTGAGAGTACGGAAAATAAGACCAGCCCCCAGCAACGATGCAAATTAGTGGCCATCTCGCGGAACGGAAGTTGCCAGTTAATGAAAAGCTCCATTTTAAAGCGTTTCAGATTTCTGCAATGAGTGGTGGCAATGCTGGACATATCAGTACATCATGGGACATATTAATGGAGGTTTTTGCAATGTGACCATCGATATAGAAGCCAATGTTACCATCATCCGAAAAGCTGGATGGTGTGGTATATCGAGATTTATCGATGTGGTATATCATAATCGGACTTAAAGCTGGCACAGCGCCAAGCATCGAAGCGAAGTAATAAGAAAATGCCACCTTTGCCGACCTTAGAGGAAATATTTTCATGTTTGAGCGGGGGAAAGCATTTTTAAAAAATTGATTATAAACATGCTTATTTACAAATGAAAGGACACCCGGAGACACAAAAATTGTTAATAATAAACACACAGAAAGGATTATATAAGTGTAAGAGATTAATGTTCGGGCTAAATGCAGCCCTGGCAATCTGGCAACGTTACGTTAGACGGACTATTCCCATGGACCTTATAAGAAATAGACTAACCCAAATGGGTTTTTTCCTCGTCTAGGCGTTCCCCGCTGTCACCTTGATCCTATCCGGAGGAGTAGGCACGACTTGAAGAAATTTAACAGCGGTTGCCTATAGCAGCGTGTATAATTGTCAAGAAAAAGCTGGTTGTAGCGCCTCATTTCACAAATTAGAATTTCTACACATTTTATTTGAAATTGAGATTGATTTTTAAAATGTAGCATATATCAAGCTAATTAAGTTCCAAATAATTATAAAGCTATTGTATGCTTTAGGGCTGGATATTTTTTTAGCTTTTCGCATGTGTAAGGAAATTTGAACTACTACTTTTAGAAAAAATATTTAAATCTGAACTAATATAAAATTTCAAACAAGCAATTTTCTCTTGCAACTTTATGCTTTTTATTGGAAATAAAAAAATAAAAATATTTAAAACGAATTTTGAAAGTAAAATTCTAAATGCTTTTTACTTCCTTGTACGAAGTAAATAAAAAGGAAGTATTGTAATCGCGAAAAGTTTCAGGCAGCATATTTCAACGAAAATATCCATTTTGACCGCTATCGAATGCAATTTAACGATGTTTTTGCGTGATATCTGTATTCGTAAGGACAGAATAAATACTCTTTTCCTCCAAAAAAATTATAAAACTGCTTTAAAATTAATTCTGAAGAGAATTTTTCGTGGCGTCTGTACGAACGTATGTACGTACGTGCGTACGTATCTCGCATAACTCAAAAACGAGTAGCCTCAGAACGTTGAAATTTTGTATATAGGACTGCTATAACATGTAGATGTGCACCTCGTATTTTGGTTGCAATCGGCCGCACCAAACGTATATAAATATATTTATATATATATCCACTCTGTTACCCGGCTCAG